AGTTTCCAACCTGTTTAAGTACTGGTTTAATATGGTTTAGATTATTTTATTAGCATCGTCTACTTTTACTATATATTTAAGTAGCATAACGGTACATTTACAGTTATATTTATTGCATTCTTATAATTAGATCTATTTATATGATTTATACATAGATTTATTGTTATAGTTGTAAATTTTACCAATATACTATTCTTAGAGATGATTTAACTAATTTCTCTAAAAATATGTGTCAAGTTCTATTTATTTTAATGAAATGCCCACAAACACATAAATGCCTGGGGACAATCATTGAACAAGTCAAAAGCCCAACTTAAAAAAAAAAATCACTTTAATAGATGTAACCCATAGACATCAACAAATGAACCAATTAATTGGGTTGGAAATATTTTTAACATTGCAATTAGAAAAAATAAGTATTTAAGCACAAAAATTACCTCATGTGAAGGTGAGAAATCCTGAGGTAATTTTCCAAGGACCTCATGAATCACATTTGGAAATAGAAACAAAAATGAAATTATGTAAAAGGAAAAGACTTTACTGGTGAGGCTGCTTATAAAGACTTCTTTGGTTTTATGTTGATAAACATTATTTTTACTACAGTTTGCTTTCCTTAAAAATAGGCATAAATCCAGTGAACATCAATGTTGGTTTAATTCTCACCTCCTTCACCATCACCCCAACTTTTCCAGCTCTCTAATCTAGATAGTTTTTCCTGGAAATTCAGGTTTACTTCAGTTGCTGGGTAAACAATGCCTCTCCACACCCTCTGCTTTTCATTCTCTCAGCCCATTAAATGGGTTTAGAACTAGATTACGTTGTAAACCTGGGACATGGTACCCCAGTGGCAAGGACAGTGGCATACATTCATCTTAATAGTCTTAATACAACATCTGTCCCCAGGGGATGAATCCTTGGTATCTGTGTAGTTCCCAGATCAAAGACAGCTGATGCAGTATTTTCACCCATTCATCTAGGCTTAGCTTCTGCCAAGGATTCGTGTCTGAAAGCCTGGTCAGTTGACCTGCCTAGCCTTTTAGTTTCCTCCACAGAGCAAGAACATGAATAGATCCTGCTGTTCTGCAACCCAGCATAATTTCTGCTGCAAAAAAAGAGACAGTTTACCAAGTATAGTCACTTCTACGTTTTCTGAAAAATAATTCTGTCTAAATTTTTATCAACTGTGTCTTGTCTACTGGTAGGTTACCCTAATAATGCCATATTGAATTTTTCCTTTGCTCTCTGGACCTTGAACTGCAGCTCAGTCAATCCTTCCATCTCCTAGTCCACACTCTCTCATCAGTCGTTTATCTTGAACCAAGTGCATGTTTCAGCCACAATCTCCAATAAAGGCTCCTGCTGCTCTAAGGTACCCATAATGACACTTCCATGTTACAACAGTTGTTATAAAAAGATGATTTACCTTTTAGTAATATGGAAGAAATCCAGAATGCTAATAATATATAATTGTGTATATGTATGTATGTATATATATACATATATATAATATTTAAACTACATGTATATATGTATATAAACATAGGTAGATAGATAGATAGATAGATAGATAGATAGATAGATAGATAGATAGATAGATAATTTCTTTTATAATGTTAGGCTAAAGCAAAGGGGAGAAGTGGCCTTCATCTAACTTTCTTCATAATAATTGGGTAATCATGGTAGGGTATGAAGTAAATCAAAAACTGATAAAATAGGACAGAAAAAAAGAAGTGCAACTTTTAAATTTATTTTCTGATACTTCATCTACAAATATTGTTTGCAAATGTTTTAAAGTTAACTCACTTTCTAAAACATCTTATGAATTTCATTATAGTAATACGGTTGGAAAGAAAAAAATTATCTCCCTAACCTTCCCTGGGCACTAATTTTACTTTTTAGGTGCCACTACTGAAGAATTTCTAATTTGGTTTGTCACTTCATTGGGAATTCAGTGCACAGAAGGGGCATATGTATAATTGGCAACCTAATTTTTCTGCTTTCATCAAATGGTGTAACGCCAAATCTTCATTGAACTTGCCAGTTAAATGCACTTGGGAACCAGAGAGCAGCAAGCGTTAAGAGATGAAAATGAACAAACTGGAAAGAGTCATTAACTTTCTGTTTTCCTATCACAACAAAAATTGTATTATTGAAAGTGTAGCAATGTGGGAAATTCTACTTGAAACATTAAACAATCTCAAAAGAGAATAATTTATTTACTTAACTTCTAAAATGTTGTTTTGTAATGTATAAATGGGGTTTCTCCAGATAGTTTTCAACAAAAAAACACAAAATAGTTAAAATGAATCAACATTTTTGAAGTGTATTTAGGTTATATATATTCATATGTCTTTTTGGTCCAGTGTATATGAATTCTAAACTTTATTTGGCAAGTAAAATTGTTAGAAAATTAAGTGAGACATGTTGGCTTTATCTAATACCTTAATGAATAAAAGCAATTGGCAGATTGTCATGGTTCTCAAAAATTATGAATGCAATTGAGAGTGTGAAAATTACCATCAGTTGTGGTTACCAAAAATGCCCTTCAAATAGCTGGTCTAATGTATAATTTTGAAGTATGCAACATAGAGTCATTATTATATCATCATTATTGTTGACAATTAATAGAGAACTAGAAAAATAAAAACACCCAAAACTTGCCCAATATGATTGAGCATCATCCTTATACAGGGACAAAACCTATAAAATTATCTATTCACAGCTCTTAAATAAACCGCATATTTATTGGATAAGTGTAAATGTTCAGATCAGGAATATCTCTTTTACAAGTTTCTTTTGCTATGATAGCGGGATTCTTTAGTAAAGACTTTGGAAAAGTTTCCTAACATTTTTTCATCTATAAGGCTAAGTAGTTAGGACTTTTTAAAATCCTTGCCTAACTCTCAGAAATGAACATTTTATAAATCCCTCTTGCAATGGAAAAATGGAGACAGTAGAAGGAAAATGCCAAAGGATTTTGAGTTTTAGATCAGCTTGTTTCATGATTACCCAAAGCTCTAAAGAAACTATTAAAACTTTCAACTAAGCCAGGAATTCTGAATGGAAGGTGGTATGAACTAAGCAGAGTAAGGCAGACTTAGGTTGAATTCAACCTTCGTCACTTAATCAGTGTGTGACCTTAGATTAACTACCTACTCTTCCCAAACCTGACTTTCTTGATCTTTGAAAATGAAGAAATAATAGCTTTTTAAAAAGTGGGCATACACAACCCAACATCCTTTGTTAGTACATCCATTTCCCAATGCTTAATCAAAGAAACTATAATGCCCTGTATTTATGTTACTGATATATTGTCCACTGGTTCCAGCTTTGCTGCCCTTTCTTGATTATATACTTAAGCCAATTTTCAAGGACTTAAATGGACTAAACTCTTTGTCTGAGACATAAAAGAATAAGGAGAAAGGAAAATTAATGTGAAAAACCTGAAAATATAGCCATGGTCATGAGCTACTAAGGAGAGAATATATAATTACTGAGTTGTTGACCTTGCCACTACCTCAATAGCCTCCTGAATGTTAATTTCCTTTTGTCACATTTATGAAAATAGTTTCCCACAGTTGTCCTCCCACGCTAAAACAGGGCTGTCCCCATTTAAAAATATATACCAACCACTAATACTCATTCAAAAATTACTCCTTGCTTTTACACCCAATTTATTCACATTGCAGAAGCCAGATCATAGCCAGTTAGATTATTTAGAACACACACACACACACACACACACACACACACATACGCACACACACACGCACACACACACAGACATGCACACAACCTGGGAAAATGTATAAATTGCTTGATTTCTGGAAGCTGTTTCCCAATATAGTAATGCACCAGATTACAAAAATCCTGTAATCTGTGCAGGAGGCTAGTTAGGGTATAAGGAAGGTGATGTCAGGTATACAAACTTAACATTAGGGACATGGTATCTATCTAGAAATAGTCCTATATGCCAATAGAATGGGTTAAAAAAATGTTTCCTACACACACAGAGTTCAATGCATTTCATCTACTTTACTGCCTACTGATGACAAAATCTATAGGAGCCCAGATAAAGAAGAGGATGGATGGGAAAGAGTGCAATGGGAAAGAGGATCAAGGGAAAATAAATTAGGTAAGCAACAGCAGCATGCATCAGAAGTCTTCTTTATTTCTAAACTGGCAAATGTTCTCCAGGGGATCATCAGTCAAATGATGTCAAAATGGTAGCTGGTTCTGTTTGTAATTCCCATGTTTCCTTATGTGTAGGAACGCAAAGTCCAGTCCAGGTCACAGTCTCAATGCTTCCATTATCCTACAGAAAAACTGATTGCTGTTAATGGTTCCTGGAAGGTGTGACCTGCTTAGAGGAAAGAAGCCGGGTTTCTTTCTTTGCTGGCCTGAAGGAAAGAGACCTGTCAGGTTGTGAATAGATGGGTGAAAGGAAAAGGGGAGAAAGAACCTCACAATTTTCTTCCTGAGAGGAGGAAGAGAAGATAACATCGGTGGTTTGGAGCATGTTCAGCATCCTCGCGGTCCTTTTCGCTACGCTTCAGCCTGCCAGTCTTCTGTTTTGACCTGTCTCTGCACTTGGACTCGACTTAAGCACAAGGATGGGCTAAGGGGTAAGCGAAGTCAGCACCGTCGGACACCGCTTCCCTAAAATGAAAACTCAGCAGTGGGTGTGCGCACGTTAATATGTGAGTATGCGTGCGCGGTAACCCGCGGACGCAGTTGGCCTGGCGCCGCCCCAGCCCAACCCCCAACCCCAATCCCTATAAAGGCCGCGCTCGCCACCGCCCTCCGCACAGTCGGGAGCGCAGTCTGCCGGGGAGGTAGCTGCGGGCTCCCCACACAGTGGCACTCCGCACTCACACACTTGGAAGCGCCTCCCCACGTCCCTCCCCTGCCCTCCTCTTGCTTTGCTTTTCTCTCTCACCACAAATAGTCGCCGACCAACTGCCAATCCGTCTCTCTCTCTCGCAACAACATGACCGACTGGGAAGCGGTGGCTCAGGCACAGCAGCTCTGCTGGCGCAGGCAGGAGGTGCAGGAGGATTATTAAATAACGCAGCTCGACTCCGCAACTGGGAGTGGAGAGAAGGAGCTCAACAGCCGAGAAGGGGAGGGAGGGCAGAGGAGGGGTCCAGGAAAGACACCCCCGTGCCCCGAAGACGCAAACCCCTGATTGCCCAAGAGGAGCCTTAACAAGCAGCGCGGAGCCTTCAAGGTAGTAACGACCCCGGTGGCCCCGCGCTCGGAGGGTCGCGCGTCGCGTTGCCGCTGCGCTGGGGCCGGCCCCTGGCGGACGCGGGATGAC